CAGTAAGCCCTTTTTTCATTGGCGGCTGCCTGCGCAGCCTCTCTGGCCTACTCTAGCCCCCACTCACATGGGGGTAGGGCAGCTGCCCCACTACACCATCATATCATATAAATCTGCACTGAGCAGGATTAGAGGATGCAGTGATTTAAAATGCCAGCAGCCAGCCAGAATCCTGCCTAGTGTTCCCATCATTGCTAACACTGCATCAGCTTTAGCAATAACAGCAAATTTTTCAGAAAAAAAGGCTGATGTAAACACAAGCTGGGTATTACACTGTTTACATCCACTGAAAGGTCTTTGGGGCAGGGAGTGTCTCTTGCTATGGCCCAGATTCTCATACCTTTACTCATTCTGGATAGTATGTTGCTCCATAAGTAATCACAATGAAGTCACCTTTGTTCACATCTGTCCCTAAGAGTTTGCACAGTGCCTGACCTAATGTCATTCAAATTAATAATAACCATCTACTTTCTATTGTCTGAGGCCATACAACATAGTTCCCCCCTAGAACTTGTTCCAATTCAATGTCTTACTGGAAAGATGAGATAATATTTTATATAAACACTAAATAAGAAATCAAAGGATCCCAGGCCTCCCTATATTCAGAATTACATTCACAACTCATCTCTTGCCTTCAGTGATGGAGTCTCTGTTGAGTCTGATGGCCGAGCTATAGGAGACCTGCACAAAGAGATGTTTAAAGTGGTACTAGGTCATGCACAACTAGTCACACTCTCTCATCCTTGTTGGCCATTTTGTCCATTGGGGCAAAAGGTTGTAACGAGTGGGCAGACAAAGATGCAGCACTTTTGCACATTGCTGGTGAGACAATCAAGACAATAGCATGCAGAACCCATTGAAGGCCAAGGTGTCCACACCACATCCCAGTGCCTGGGCTGTGCAGCAGTGCTGAAGCTTGCTTGCTAATGCTACTGCAAACTGAAGCAGAATCACTAAAAACCCCACCAGCTTTTTTTTCCCTCTGTCCCCTATGACTGGAGAAGTGTTAGCGGGCCACTTCACCTTTAATGGTCCCATGAGATATGTGTAGGGCCCTTCATTTTCAGTTTTTATTTTATTTAATTTTTCCTGGGAATTTATCGGTGTTTATTACCGCAAAAACAAAAACAGGTGAAAATCAGGGCAAAAAACTATTAATTTTTTTCTGGGTAAATATTGGGGTTTATATTGGTGGATGTAAAGACAGAGGGAAAAAGTATTCAGTAGATTAATGCTTTGAATTCTGTTCATCAGTGTGGTTTGCTGCAGAACTAAAACAGAACTCAAAACACAATGTCACCTCTGAGTTTAAAAAACAATATATCTCTAATCCCCAAATAGAACTTTTCATTTGAATAAACAAACAGTTTACTGTTGTAGACTTAGAACTATTAGCCCATAAATATTTACATTTAATAATTGGGCCACACCATTTGCAGCGCATACACTCAACTTCATCCTTTTCTCCTGTTTTTATTTTTTTAAAAACTTTTGAATACTTCCTTATGTTCTGAAACATATTCTAATACATGTTCTAATATGTTTTCTTCCCATTTTAGTGTGTCAAATCTTTAAACTGTTATCTGCAAACAGCTTGAAATGTGTACGTGGTGGGCGTGAAATTCATCAGTACATTCAGAAGCACACGCACTTCAGAGCTTGTGTGCCTGCCTGTTTGTTTATAGTGTGTATCTTCTAAACTAATACATAGCCTTACTTCAACAGGCAGCTTTGCATATAAACACAGACTAATGTATTATCATAATACATATATCTCATGCAAGGTATTATATTTTCTTAATAAAACAAGTTATTTTTTATATATTTGAATGATACAAAAGTAGGGTGAAAATCAGAAAAAAATGAATAATACTTTTTGTAAAACCCAGGAATTTTTTGGTAAAAACTGGTTTAAACTGAAAACGAAGGGACGTAGATATGTGCTAACGGTAGGGTTACCATACGTCCGGTTTTTCCCGGACATGTCCGGCTTTTCGGCAATCAAACCCCCGTCCGGGGGGAATTGCCAAAAAGCCGAACATGTCCGGGAAAATGCCGGCCAGGCACTTCCCCTCCCGCGGCTGCTCTGCTCCTCCCCTGACTCTTCGGCTCTGTTTAAGAGCCGAGCTACCCGAGCGCTATGGGCTTCAGGCAGCCCCCTTGCTT